CTGAGTCAGCTTGAACCTAACAGAGAAGACACAAAAAATGGACATCCAGCAGATTTTAATCCCTACTTTGGGTTTTTGTAAACAGCAGCAAGAGACAAATACATTTACACATCCGGCCCACCTCCTCAGCAGCAGGAGAAAAGTCTGTGTTTGGATTTGTACGAATATAGACGGCCCCCTTAAAGGAGCTATACCTGTTTCTGCAAGATTTGAATGTTTAGCCCCGCCCCCAACTCGCTCACAGGCTTCTCATTGCCCCTACGCTCTCATCCCACGGAGCCATCTAGTTTTAGTGTGATCTATATGCTAACATTAGCATTAGCACAAGTTAAGCTGTACAACAATCACTGATGAAATGGTACAAAAGCAATGCACTGCTAACACAATATATAACTGTGGTCCGAGCGTAGATAGTCTGAGCGTAGATAGTCCGAGCGTAGATAGTCCGAGCGTAGATAGTCCGAGCGTAGATAGTCCGAGCGTAGATAGTCCGAGCGTAGATAGTCCGAGCGTAGATAGTCCGAGCGTAGATAGTCCGAGCGTAGATAGTCTGAGGGTGCTTTCACACCTGCAACATTTAAATTTGGTCCGGACTAAAGAACCGTACCGAGACCACCTTAGGGAGCTGGTCTCGGTACGGTTCCATGCGGACTCCAGTCTGGTTCACTGCTGGTGAGAACGCAGACCGGCCTCAATATGGCCCTGCTCTGTTAGGGTGCTTTCACACCAAATTCATGGTCCACTTTCACACCTGCTCAAATGAACCGTACTTGCAGGTGATCCAGACTCCAGTCCGTTTTAAGTGGACTAAATGGTGCAGGTGTGAAAGCACCCTTAGCGTAGATAGTCCGAGCTTAGATAGTCCGAGCGTAGATAGTCCGATCATAGATAGTCCGAGCGTAGATAGTCCGAGCGTAGATAGTCCGAGCGTAGATAGTCCGATCATAGATAGTCCGAGCGTAGATAGTCCGAGCGTAGATAGTCCGAGCGTAGATAGTCCGAGCGTAGATAGTCCGAGCGTAGATAGTCCGATCATAGATAGTCCGAGCGTAGATAGTCCGAGCGTAGATAGTCCGAGCGTAGATTATTACACTCCCCTCTCTCCTCCAGACCTCCTCTCTCTCCTCCAGACCTCCTCCTGTAAACCTCCTCTCTCTCCTCCAGACCTCCTCCTGTAAACCTCCTCTCTCTCCTCCAGACCTCCTCCTGTAAACCTCCTCTCTCTCCTCCAGACCTCCTCCTGTAAACCTCCTCTCTCTCCTCCAGACCTCCTCCTGTAAACCTCCCCTCTCTCCTCCTCCAGACCTCCTCCTGTAAACCTCCCCTCTCTCCTCCAGACCTCCTCCTGTAAACCTCCCCTCTCTCCTCCAGACCTCCTCCTGTAAACCTCCCCTCTCTCCTCCAGACCTCCTCCTGTAAACCTCCCCTCTCTCCTCCAGACCTCCTCCTGTAAACCTCCCTCTCTCCTCCAGACCTCCCCTCTCTCCTCCAGACCTCCTCCTGTAAACCTCCCCTCTCTCCTCCAGACCTCCTCTCTCTCCTCCAGACCTCCTCTCTCTCCTCCAGACCTCCTCTCTCTCCTCCAGACCTCCTCTCTCTCCTCCAGACCTCCCCTCTCTCCTCCAGACCTCTTCCTGTAAACTTCCCCTCTCTCCTCCAGACCTCCTCCAGACCTCCTCTCTCTCCTCCAGACCTCCTCCTGTAAACTTCCCCTCTCTCCTCCAGATCTCCTCCAGACCTCCTCTCTCTCCTTCTCTCACACATCAGTCCCACTTCAGTTCACTCAGCTCTAACTCTCTCTAACTGATTCATATTCTTCGCCTCCTGCCGTGGGCTCCCAAGGACCAGCCGGGCCCCAGGCTTCGAGCTGAAGGGCACCTCTCGTCTTAACAGTTGTTGACTTTTCTTCATTGTTTGCTCATTCGCTCACGGCATATTTTTGGGGCGCCAGGTTTGAGGGAATCCTGCAGCCTGCCCTCCTAATGAAGCTGGCGGATGTTTGGCATGCCGTCCCGCGTGTGTGTGTGTGCCGGGGTTGGTGTCTGGCAGATGGGCCCCGGTGCCGTGTTTACCCACAGTGAGAGCGGATGGCTGACGCTGCGTTCTGATTGGCTGCTGGTTAGATTTCATTTGTGAGCGCGCCCAGTGGGGAGACGGCGAGATGGAGGCAGATGCGGCCAGGCTTTCAGAGCCAGATGCACGAAGGCAAGTGTTGTCCCTGAGCTCGGGTGTGTGTGTGTGTGTCTGTGTGTATGTGTGTGTGTGTGTGTGTGTGTGTGTGTGTGTGTGTGTGTGTGTGTGTGTGTGTGTGTGTGTGTGTGTGTGTGCGATGAACAGGTGGAGGCTGTTTGCAAACATATAGTGGAGTTTAATGTACTCAATGTAGAGCCAATTCCTCAGAGGTGATTCTAAAACTGTAAGACTAGAGAGAGAGACCAGAGAGAGACCAGAGAGAGACCAGAGAAAGAGACCAGAGAGAGACCAGAGAGAGACCAGAGAGAGACCAGAGAGAGAGACCAGAGAGACCAGAGAGAGACCAGAGAGAGACCAGAGAGAGAGACCAGAGAAAGACCAGAGAGAGACCAGAGAGAGAGACCAGAGAGAGACCAGAGAGAGACCAGAGAGAGACTAGAGAGAGACCTGAGAGAGACCAGAGAGAGACCTGAGAGAGACCAGAGAGAGACCTGAGAGAGAGACCAGAGAGAGACCAGAGAGAGACCAGAGAGAGACCAGAGAGAGACCAGAGAGAGACCTGAGAGAGACCAGAGAGAGACCTGAGAGAGACCAGAGAGAGAACTGAGAGAGACCTGAGAGAGACCAGAGAGAGACCAGAGAGAGAGACCAGAGAGAGCCCAGAGAGAGTCCTGGTGTGTGTGCGGTACCTGCTGGTGGTGCGGGTGAAGCAGGGTCGGTGGTTGACGGAGGCCACAGACTCGTCCATGAGAGGGAAGGACTTGATGAAGGTGAGGGTGTCGTCGGGGAACGTGGTGGAGGACTTAAAGGAGCCGGCAGAGGCCTCGCCCGCACAGCAGCCGGGTCTGCGAACACACACACACACACACACACACACACACACACTGAGTGGATAGTCCTGGGTTCAAATCCCGGTCTGAACGTGGAGTTTGCATGTTCTCCCCGTGTCTGTGCAGGTTTCCTCCGGGTGCTCTGGGTTCTCCCTCTCTGTGTGGAGCGAGAGACTAATGCCCACAACTGTCAACCGCTTTGACTCTGGTCTGAGAAAGGCGCTACATAAATAAACAATAGACAGACACACGCACACAGACACACACACACACGCACAGACTCAAACACACACACACACACAGAAACAGACACAGACACACGCACACACACACACACACTGACAGACTCACACACCCACACACACTGACAGACACACGCACACACACACACTGACAGATACACAGACATACACACACACAAACACGCCACACACAGACACACACACACACACACACACACACACATAACACACTCAGCCAGCTATCTACACATGTACTATTTCTGGAGGTTCTTCGATAACCAATAACTCTTCTGGACTCGGGAAAAGCCATGTTCCAGCTTCTTCCCTCTGGCAGAAGATACCGTTGGCTGCAAGACACCTGGCTATGCTAACATGCTAACATGCTAACAGCTTCTTTCAGTTGTATAACCCTTTAATGATCTTGCACTGTGTTTTTGTCGTTTTCTCAGTGACTGTTGTACTTTTGTAGCGTGTTTTACTCTTGTCTGTCACACACTGGGGCCTCTCGCTCAAGTATTCCACTGTGGTTTTACTGCAAATAGGTTAGGGAGAGGAGCCGCCATTTTGACCATACAGCACAATACGTCTGGAACCTTCTCTTTCTCACCAGCATCGTCGTCGCCATGGAGATGACAGATTCTCCATTTTGAAAGTGATAGAAATGTTATTATTATTATTATTATTATTATTATTATTATTATTATTATTATTATTATTATTATTACATTGTGAACTGCATTCGAAATCATAATCTGCCGTCGTCTACAGTAGTGGTTTTGTTGGTGTTAGTCAGATCAGCCTGACAGAGATGGACTCAGAGTCTCAGAGGGTTCCCACTGAGAGGCAAATGAAGGTTATCGTTCTGATCTTATCTCTGTGTTTGAAACGATCGCCCAAAAGGAGGATTTAAACCCAGAGCAAAGAGACTGAGATTGGATCGAGGGCAAAGACCACGTTTACCCTTCATCACTTCAATATTCAGACTGAACCAGGACTGAACCAGGACTGAGCCGGGACTGAGCCAGGACTGAGCCAGGACTGAACCAGGACTGAGCCAGGACTGAACCAGGACTGAACCAGGACTGAACCAGGACTAAACCAGGACTGAGCCAGGACTGAGCCAGGACTGAACCAGGACTGAACCAGGACTGAGCCGGGACTGAGCCGGGACTGAGCCGGGACTGAGCCAGGACTGAACCAGGACTGAACCAGGACTGAACCAGGACTGAACCAGGACTGAGCCAGGACTGAGCCAGGACTGAACCAGGACTGAACCAGGACTAAACCAGGACTGAGCCAGGACTGAGCCAGGACTGAACCAGGACTGAGCCAGGACTGAGCCAGGACTGAACCAGGACTGAGCCAGGACTGAACCAGGACTGAGCCAGGACTGAACCAGGACTGAGCCATACTGGAAGACTGAGACCAGGACTGATATAAGGACTGAAAAGGCCAGGGACTGAGACCAGGACTGAACCATAACAGAACCAGGACATCATCATCTCTCTCTCTTTGTTATCTGTCTCTCTCTCTCTGTGGCCTTTCTCTCTGGTCTCTCTCTGGTCTCTCTCTCTGGTCTCGCTCTGTGGTCTCTCTCTCTGGTCTCTCTCTGTGGTCTCTCTCTCTGGTCTCTCTCTCTCTGTGGCCTCTCTCTCGCTGGCCTTTCTCTCTGGTCTCTCTCTGTGGTCTCTCTCTCTGGTCTCTCTCTCTCTGTGGCCTCTCTCTCGCTGGCCTTTCTCTCTGTGGTCTCTCTCTCTGGCCTCTCTCTCTCTCTGGCCTCTCTCTCTCTCTGGTCTCTCTCTCTCTCTGGTCTCTCTCTCTCTCTCTCTGGCCTCTCTCTCTCTGGCCTCTCTCTCTCTGGCCTCTCTCTCTCTCTGGCCTCTCTCTCTCTCTGGCCTCTCTCTCTCTCTGGTCTCTCTCTCTCTCTCTGGCCTCTCTCTCTCTGGCCTTTCTCTCTGTTTTTACAAAACTGGGATAAAAAACAAAACCAAGCCACATGAACACACACGGTCCTTGACCACTGTCCCCCCTGTTACAGCCCCCTGGTACAGCCCCCTTGTAGAGCCCCCTGGTAGAGCCCCCTGGTAGAGCCCCCTGGTAGAGCCCCCTGGTAGAGCCCCTGGTACAGCTCCCCTGGTACAGCCCCATGGTGTTACGGTGTGTTCACTGGTGTCTTCTGCAGATGTAAAAAGGCTCTGGCAGCTGCTGCAGACTGTGGGGACGAACAGGTGCCAGAGCGAGAGGGGGGGAGGGGGCAGGAGGGGGAGGAAGGGGAGAACGGGGGGGGGGGGGGGGGGGGGGGGGTGTGAAGCAGATGCAACGCCTGCCGCTGTCACACCGAGATAAACACAACTGGGGGGGGAGATGGAAAAGGGGGAGTTTGGCAAAATACATAAAAAATCACAATAAAACCAGGATTGAGTCTGAACCACAACAATCTACAACAAAGACTTCATTTTCTGTTTCAGTCCTGGGTCTACAGCCTCAGTCCTGGGTCTACAGCCTCAGTCCTGGGTCTACAGTCTCAGTCCTGGGTCTACAGCCTCAGTCCTGGGTCTACAGCCTCAGTCCTGGGTCTACAGCCTCAGTCCTGGGTCTACAGTCTCAGTCCTGGGCCTACAGCCTCAGTCCTGGGTCTACAGCCTCAGTCCTGGGTCTACAGCCTCAGTCCTGGGTCTACAGCCTCCGTCCTGGGTCTACAGCCTCAGTCCTGGGTCTACAGCCTCAGTCCTGGGTCTACAGCCTCAGTCCTGGGTCTACAGCCTCAGTCCTGGGTCTACAGCCTCTGTCTTCCAAAGCCGGGGTCTGACCTGGGTTTGGGGACCTGCTCGTCGGGCACCGGGGTCCAGGCCGACTCGCTGTTCTTCTGCTCCTTGAACTTCCCGCTGAAGGACTTCTCGATGTCGTCCATGTAGAAGGCACAGACCGCGGAGCCCGTGATGCTGGAGAGAGGGCAGAGGGCATCAGGGTGAAACGTGGGTCTCTAGGGTCTCTCTCACAGATACAAATGACAAATCCAGTTCATTTCAAACTTGATGACGTGCTCTACTTCCTAAAGAACTCCAAGCATCCTACTGGGCTAGCTTGAACATGTTAGCTCAAATGCTACACCTGCTATGGTGGCTACGCTAACAAATCCAGAAAGAGGCTAGAGAGAGATGAAAGAGATGAAAGAGATACCAGAGAGAAAGACCAGACCGAGAGACCAGAGAGAGACCAGAGGGAGACCAGCAAGAGCAGAAAGAGAGACCAGAAAGGGACCATAGTGAGATCGGAGCGAGAGACCAGAAAGAGACTAGGGAGAGCAGAAAGAGCTACCGGGAAGAGAGCTAGACCAGAGAGAGACCATGGACAGACCAGAGAGAGACCAGAAAGTGAGACCAAAGAGAGACCAGAGAGAGACCAGAGCGAGAGAGAGACCTACAGTAAGTGAGACCGGAGCGAGACCAGAGAGAGAAACCACAGAGAGAGACGACAGAGAACAGAAAGAGACTAGAGAGAGAAACCACAGAGAGACACCATAGAGAGACCAGAAAGAGACTAGAGAGAGAGACCAGAGAGAGAGAGAGACCAGAGAAAGAGACCAGAGAGAGACCAGAGAGAGACCAGAGAGAGACCAGAGAGAGACCAGAGAGAGACCAGAGAGGAAGAACGGAGAGACACCACACTCATTTCCTCAGGTCTCCAGGTTCAGATCGAACTTGAGGAAATGGGCGGAGTCTGATGAGCTCCTGCTTGGTTGGAATGAAAACCCGTGGACCCCCCGGCCCTTTGAGGACCAGTTTGAGACCTCTGCTTCAAATGTGAGTAAATCCTGTCCCCGGGGTCTGACCTGTTGGCCTGCGTGGTGAAGACCCCCAGCACGGCGGGGCGGTGGTTGATCTGCAGGACGTTGGTGAGAGACTGAAGGACGTCGAAGTAGAAGAAGGAGTCTCCAGGAACCGAGCAGTTCAGACGGGCTTTGAGGAAGGACGTCCAGTACCGCTCCAAGACCCGGGGCGACCCGCCGTTATCGTTCTTACACACACGGCCCACTCTGGAGAACACCACCTGAGGAGAATATGTGGGATTATACCAGTCCTGAGTCCTGGGTCTACAGCCTCAGTCCTGGATCTACAGTCTCAGTCCTGGGTCTACAGCCTCAGTCCTGGGTCTACAGCTTCAGTCCTGGGTCTACAGCTTCAGTCTTGGGTCTACAACCTCAGTCCTGGGTCTACAGCCTCAGTCCTGGGTCTACAGCCTCAGTCCTGGATCTACAGCCTCAGTCCTGGATCTACAGCCTCCGTCCTGGGTCTACAGCCTCAGTCCTGGGTCTACAACCTCAGTCCTGGGTCTACAGCTTCAGTCCTGGGTCTACAGCCTCAGTCCTGGGTCTACAGCTTCAGTCCTGGGTCTACAGCTTCAGTCCTGGGTCTACAGCCTCAGTCCTGGGTCTACAGCCACGGACAGGGCTAAAGTTTCCAACAAACACCTCAAAATGAAGAATAGCTCTCATCCATCTTGTGTTTGGCTCCGGGGCCCGGGGCCGGTCACAGAGCCAGACTCTATCCAATTATAATGACATTCACTTTGACATAAACTAGAACGGACTCCTCTCATTCTCAAACTCTCATTTTTATTGGAAGACTCCATCACAATAGATCTTCATAAACTTCTCATATTTGTGGGTAAAGGTCCAGTGCTCGTTTAAAAATAATAACTCCCAGAGGCCGAAAGTTCATCTTTGCACCTGTGGATATTTGTCTATCTATGTTTTACTTGATGAAGGGACTTAGACTCATAGATCACAGTAAAATAACCTGAGTTTGGAGATTATGTTGGCAGATTTTACTGAACAAAACTAGTTTAATAATGGTTTGTTTGGACTGAAACAAAGAGGCCAGAGAGAGAGAGAGAGACCAGAGAGAGACCAGAGAGAGAGACCAGACAGAGACAAGAGAGAGACCAGAGAGAGACCAGAGAGAGAGACCAGAGAGAGACCAGAGAGAGACCAGAGAGAGACCAGAGAGAGACCAGAGAGAGACCAGAGAGAGAGACCAGAGAGAGACCAGAGAGAGACCAGAGAGACCAGAGAGAGAGAGACCAGAGAGAGAGACCAGAGAGAGACCAGAGAGAGACCAGAGAGAGAGCAGAGAGAGACCAGAGAGAGACCAGAGAGAGGCCAGAGAGAGACCAGAGAGAGACCAGAGAGAGACTAGAGAGAGACTAGTGAGAGACCAGAGAGAGACCAGAGAGAGACCAGAGAGAGACCAGAGAGAGGCCAGAGAGAGACCAGAGAGAGACCAGAGAGAGACCAGAGAGAGAGCAGAGAGAGACCAGAGAGAGACTAGAGAGAGAGACCAGAGAGAGACCAGAAAGAAACTAGAGAGAGAGAGAGCAGAGAGGGAGAGCAGAGAGAGAGAGAGAGACCAGAGAGAGAGAGAGAGACCAGAGAGAGATCAGAGAGAGACCAGAGAGAGACCAGAGAGAGACCAGAGAGAGACCAGAGAGAGACCAGAGAAAGAGGGTTAGGGTTTGAATATAACAATAATAGCATATACAGTTTAAAGCTCTCATATATAAATAATTCTTTCGGATCTGAACAGGTTTTGTCTCTTTTTGTTGAAACCATTCTTGACTTTTTGAAAGAATCACAGTCGCTCTTCACTAATGTTGAGATTCTACATCGTGTTCTGATCCGGACTCTTTCCTGTGGCTCCGACTGAAGTGTGCGGATTGTAAAGAGCTGTGAGGCTCCATGAAAAGGCTTTCACTCGGGCTCGTCCCGGTCCTCTTACCTTTCCCAGCGACGTGTACTCCACCGCGATCTCACTGAAGAAGAAGTACACGTAGTTCCCGTACTCTATGGCGTGGAGGAAGTGCGGCTCTGAAAGAAACCCAGGTCTTTGTGAGAAACTTTCAGCAGCGACCGGTGAGATCAGAGACCATAATGAGGACGAAAGACCAGAGAGAGACCAGAGGCAGAGCAGAGGGAGACCAGAGAGAGACCAGAGAGAGAGCAGAGGGAGATTAGAGGGAGAGCAGAGAGAGAGCAGAGAGAGACCAGAGAGAGGGACAAGAGAGAGCAGAGAGAAACTAGAGAGAGACCAGAGAGAGACCAGAGAGAGACCAGAGAGAGACCAAAGAGAGACCAGAGAGAGACCAGAGAGAGACCAGAGAGAGACCAAAGAGAGACCAGAGAGAGACCAGAGAGAGACCAGAGAGAGACCAAAGAGAGACCAGAGAGAGACCAGAGAGAGACCAGAGAGAGACCAGAGAGACCAGAGAGACCAGAGAGAGACCAGAGAGAGACCAGAGAGAGACCAGAGAGAGACCAGAGAGAGAAGGTTTGATTATAGATGTGATAGATTGATCCAGTCTATAATAATCCTTCTTCCATACATACAAATTGATTAAATACATAATTCTAAAAGTAATTAATTAATTAATTGCTGGTCTTATGGGAGAGCATCTATGTGGCTCGTTCTGGTCTTCCCTGTCAGACTCGTGCTGGTCACTCACCTCGGAGCCATTTGGAGTCGTACTTGACGGTCCTCAGCACAGGACTGCTCTCGCCCAGACTGCGATAGATCACTGCATCACTGGCCAAGAAGTCTGTCATGGTGGCAGAGTAAAAGTCTCCTCCTGAAGAGAGAGAGAGAGAGACATGGTGAGAGAGACCAGGGAGAGAGAGGCCGGAGAGACCAGTGAGGGAGAGAGAGAGAGAGACCAATGAGGGAGGGAGAGAGACCAGTGAGGGAGAGAGAGAGACATGGTGAGAGAGACCAGAGAGAGAGAGGCCGGAGACACCAGTGAGGGAGAGAGAGAGAGAGAGAGAGAGAGAGACCAGTGAGGGAGAGAGAGAGAGACGAGTGAAGGAGGGAGAGAGACACAGAGAGAGAGAGAGACGGTGTGTGAAAGAGAGAGAGACATGGTGAGAGAGAAAGAGAGACGGTGAGAGAGAGACCAGGGAGAGAGAGAGAGAGACACAGTGAGAGAGACCAGAGAGAGCGAGACCAGTGAGGGAAAGAGAGAGAGAGAGAGTGAGACCTGTAAGGGAGGGAGAGAGAGACCAGTGAGGGAGGGAGAGAGAGACACGGAGAGAGAGAGAGAGAGAGAGAGAGAGAGACGGTGTGTGAAAGAGAGAGAGACATGGTGAGAGAGAAAGAGAGACGGTGAGAGAGAGACCAGGGAGAGAGAGAGAGACACGTGTGTGAGAGACCAGGGAGGGAGTGAGAGAGACACAGTGAGAGAGAGAGAGGCACGGTGAGAGAGACCAGGGAGAGAGTGAGAGAGAAAGAGTGAGAGGGAAGGAGAGGGAGGCCAGAAAGAGAGAGAGAGACCAGAGAGAGAAATACACGGTGAGAGAGAACAGAGAGAGCGAACAGAGAGAGGGACCAGGGATACTGGAGGCCACTGAGAGAGGTAAGAGAGATATCAGAGGGAGAGAAAAAGAGAGACCAGAGAGAGTGAGAGAGAGCAGAGAGTTTCTCCCCTCCTCTCTCTTTATCTCCCTCTTCTCTCTCTCTCTCAGTTTTCCTTTGACATTTCTGCAAAGTTCAGACACAACGTTAATAAAGCGTCTCTGCTGCATCTGCTTTGAGCCTCTGAAGGATGTCAGGGTGTCATGGAGGGTTGGAATCCTCCTCTCTGCTCTCTCTCTGGTCTCTCTCTCTCTCTCTGGTCTCTCTCTCACCGTGTACCTCTCTCTCTGATATCCCTCTCTCTCACTCTCTCTGACCTCTCTCTCTCTCTGCTCTCGTCCTCTGCTCTCTCTCTCTCTGCTGTCTCTGTTCTCTCTCCTCTCTCTCTGCTCTCCCGCTTTCTCTGCTCTCTAGCCTCTCTCTCTTTCCCTCCTCCCCTCTCTCTCTGCTCTCTCACTCTGCTCTCTCACTCCGCTCTCTCTCTCTCTGCTCTCTCTATCTCTGCTCTCTCGCTTTCTCTGCTCTCTAGTCTCTCTCGCTTTCTCTGCGCTCTTTCTCGCTCTCTCTCTCTCTCTTTTTCTCTCTCACTCCGCTCTCTCTCTCTGCTCTCTCTATCTCTGCTCTCTCGTTTTTTCTGCTCTCTAGTCTCTCTCGCTTTCTCTGCGCTCTTTCTCGCTCTCTCTCTCTGTCTCTCACTCCGCTCTCTCTCTCTCTGCTCTCTCTATCTCTGCTCTCTCGCTTTCTCTGCTCTCTTTCTCGCTCTCTCTCTCTTATCCACTCACCTGCGAACAGGCCGACGTTGGACTGCCTGGACTCAAAGGGACACCGTGCCTGCCCGACCACCTCCTCCCCCTCCTGCTCCAGGCTGGACATCTGTGGGAGACACCAGTGCAACAACACGTGGAATAAAAGCCTTAAACCAGACTCTAAAGCACCTCTTAAACCAGACTCTAAAGCGCCTCTTGAACCAGACTCTAAAGCGCCTCTTGAACCAGACTCTAAAGCGCCTCTTAAACCAGACTCTAAAGAGCCTCTTGAACCAGACTCTAAAGCGCCTCTTGAACCAGACTCTAAAGCGCCTCTTGAACCAGACTCTAAAGCGCCTCATTAACCAGACTCCAAAGAGCCTCTTGAACCAGACTCTAAAGCGCCTCTTGAACCAGACTCTAAAGCGCCTCTTGAACCAGACTCTAAAGCGCCTCTTGAACCAGACTCAAAAGCGCCTCATAAACCAGACTCTAAAGCGCCTCTTGAACCAGACTCTAAAGCGCCTCTTAAACCAGACTCTAAAGCGCCTCTTGAACCAGACTCTAAAGAGCCTCTTAAACAAGACTCAAAAGCGCCTCTTGAACCAGACTCTAAAGCGCCTCTTGAACCAGACTCTAAAGCGCCTCTTAAACCAGACTCTAAAGCGCCTCTTAAACCAGACTCTAAAGCGCCTCTTACACCAGACTCTAAAACGCCTCATAAACCAGACTCTAAAGAGCCTCTTGAACCAGACTCTAAAGCGCCTCTTGAACCAGACTCTAAAGCGCCTCATAAACCAGACTCTAAAGAGCCTCTTGAACCAGACTCTAAAGCGCCTCTTGAACCAGACTCTAAAGCGCCTCTTGAACCAGATTCTAAAGCGCCTCTTGAACCAGACTCTAAAGCGCCTCATAAACCAGACTCTAAAGCGCCTCTTGAACCAGACTCTAAAGCGCCTCTTGAACCAGACTCTAAAGAGCCTCTTAAACCAGACTCTAAAGCGCCTCTTAAACCAGACTCTAAAGCGCCTCTTGAACCAGACTCTAAAGCGCCTCTTGAACCAGACTCTAAAGAGCCTCTTGAACCAGACTCTAAAGCGCCTCATAAACCAGACTCTAAAGCGCCTCTTGAACCAGACTCTAAAGCGCCTCTTGAACCAGACTCTAAAGCGCCTCTTGAACCAGACTCTAAAGCGCCTCTTAAACCAGATTCTAAAGCACCTCTTGAACCAGACTCTAAAGCGCCTCATAAACCAGACTCTAAAGCGCCTCTTGAACCAGACTCTAAAGCGCCTCTTGAACCAGACTCTAAAGAGCCTCTTAAACCAGACTCTAAAGCGCCTCTTAAACCAGACTCTAAAGCGCCTCTTGAACCAGACTCTAAAGAGCCTCTTGAACCAGACTCTAAAGCGCCTCATAAACCAGACTCTAAAGCGCCTCTTGAACCAGACTCTAAAGCGCCTCTTGAACCAGTCTCTAAAGCGCCTCTTGAACCAGACTCTAAAGCGCCTCTTGAACCAGACTCTAAAGCGCCTCATAAACCAGACTCTAAAGCGCCTCTTGAACCAGACTCTAAAGCGCCTCTTAAACCAGACTCTAAAGCGCCTCTTGAACCAGATTCTAAAGCGCCTCTTGAACCAGACTCTAAAGCGCCTCATAAACCAGACTCTAAAGCGCCTCTTGAACCAGACTCTAAAGCGCCTCTTGAACCAGACTCTAAAGAGCCTCTTAAACCAGACTCTAAAGCGCCTCTTAAACCAGACTCTAAAGCGCCTCTTAAACCAGACTCTAAAACGCCTCATAAACCAGACTCTAAAGAGCCTCTTGAACCAGACTCTAAAGCGCCTCTTGAACCAGACTCTAAAGCGCCTCTTGAACCAGACTCTAAAGCACCTCTTGAACCAGACTCTAAAGCGCCTCTTGAACCAGACTCTAAAGTGCCTCTTTAACCAGACTCTAAAGCGCCTCTTGAACCAGACTCTAAAGCGCCTCTTGAACCAGACTCTAAAGCGCCTCTTAAACCAGACTCTAAAGCGTCTCTTAAACCAGACTCTAAAGCGCCTCTTAAACCAGACTCTAAAGCGCCTCTTAAACCAGACTCTAAAGCGCCTCTTAAACCAGAGTCTAAAGCGCCTCTTAAACCAGACTCTAAAACGCCTCTAAAACCAGACTCTAAAGCGCCTCTAAAACCAGACTCTAAAGCGCCTCTTGAACCAGACTCTAAAGCGCCTCATAAACCAGACTCTAAAGCGCCTCTTGAACCAGACTCTAAAGAGCCTCTTAAACCAGACTCTAAAGCGCCTCTTGAACCAGACTCTAAAGAGCCTGTTAAACCAGACTCTAAAGCGCCACTTGAACCAGACTCTAAAGCGCCTCTTGAACCAGACTCTAAAGCGCCTCTTAAACCAGACTCTAAAGCTCCTTTCGAACCAGACTCTAAAGAGCCTCTTAAACCAGACTCTAAAGCGCCTGTTGAACCAGACTCTAAAGCGCCTCATAAACCAGACTCTAAAGAGCCTCTTGAACCAGACTCTAAAGCGCCTTTTGAACCAGACTCTAAAGCGCCTCTTGAACCAGACTCTAAAGCGCCTCTTAAACCAGACTCAAAAGCGCCTCTTAAACCAGACTCTAAAGCGCCTATTAAACCGGACTCTAAAGCGCCTCTTGAACCAGACTCTAAAGCGCCTCTTGAACCAGACTCTAAAGCGCCTCTTAAACCAGACTCTAAAGCGCCTCTTGAACCAGACTCTAAAGCGCCTCTTAAACCAGACTCTAAAGCGCCTCTTAAACCAGACTCTAAAGCGCCTCTTGAACCATACTCTAAAGCGCCTCTTGAACCAGACTCTAAAGTGCCTCTTGAACCAGACTCTAAAGCGCCTCTTGAACCAGACTCTAAAGCGCGTCTTGAACCAGACTCTAAAGCGCCTCTTGAACCAGACTCTAAAGCGCCTCTTGAACCAGACTCTAAAGAGCCTCTAAAACCAGACTCTAAAGCGCCTCTAAAACCAGACTCTATAGCGCCTCTTAAACAAGACTCTAAAGCGCCTCTAAAACCAGACTCTAAAGCGCCTCTTAAACCAGACTCTAAAGCGCCTCTTGAACCAGACTCTAAAGCGCCTCTTAAACCAGACTCGTTCCGTTCATCAGGACTCACCCGAGCGTCCAGCAGAGCAGTGGATTTATAGTGGATCTTTAGGACGCTGTTGGTTGAATAAAACGTTTGAAAGACCATCTCTGAGGCACATGTTTAGACAGAGTCGTGTCCGGATGATACACACACTGCTCTCTCTTCTCTCTCTCTAGGGTCTCGCTCTGGTCTCTCTCTTGTCTCTCTCTCTGGTCTCTCTCTTCTCTCTATCTAGTCACACTCTCTGGTAACTCTCTCTTGTCTCTCTCTGGTCTCTCTCTGGTCTCTCTCTGGTCTCTCTCTGGTCTCTCTCTGGTCTCTCTCTTGTCTCTCTCTTGTCTCTCTCTGGTCTCTCTCTGGTCTCTCTCTGGTCTCTGAGGCACATATTTAGACAAAGTGCGGCTGTTTCACACACTGTGGTTAAAGACTGTTTTATTGGATGCACTTCATATTCTGTCGTCACGTGACTCAGATCAGAAATTAAGAATTAATGGAGCGGAGATGTCGACAGGAAGTCCAAGGTTATACACAGAAGAGACGAGTCTTGGACACAGAAGACAGCCCTGTCCCGTGTACAGAGAGAGACCAGAGATAGACCAGAGAGAGACCAGAGAGAGACCAGAGAGAAAGACCAGAGAGAGACCAGAGAGAGACTAGAGAGAGACCAGAGAGAGAGACCAGAGAGAGACCAGAGAGAGACTAGAGAGAGACTAGAGAGAGACCAGAGAGAGACCAGAGAGAGACCAGAGAGAGACCAGAGAGAGACTAGAGAGAGACTAGAGAGACCAGAGAGAGAGACCAGAGATAGACCAGAGACAGAGACCAGAGAGAGACCAGAGAGACACCAGAGAGACCAGAAAGAGAGACCAGAGAGAGACCAGAGAGAGACTAGAGAGAGACCAGAGAGAGACCAGAGAGAGACCAGAGAGAGACCAGAGAGAGACCAGAGAGAGACCAGAGAGAGACTAGAGAGAGAGACCAGAAAGAGACCAGAGAGAGACCAGAGAGAGATCAGACCATCTTACATCATAGAGACATGAGCTAAAACTGGACCAAACATACATTTGTTAAAATGTTTCCGTCCCATGAACAGCCCTGTCCCGTGTAGAGCCCTGTCTGTGTAGAGCCCTGTCCTGTGTAGAGCTCTGTCCCGTGTAGAGCCCTGTCTGTGTAGAGCTCTGTCCCGTGTAGAGCCCTGTCTGTGTAGAGCCCTGTCTGTGCAGAGCCCTGTCCCGTGTAGAGCCCTGTCCCGTGTAGAGCCCTGTCTGTGTAGAGCCCTGTCTGTGCAGAGCCCTGTCCCGTGTAGAGCTCTGTCTGTGTAGAGCCCTGTCTGTGTAGACCCCTGTCTGTGTAGAGCCCTGTCCCATGTAGACCCCTGTCTGTGTAGAGCCCTGTCCCGTGTAGAGCCCTGTCTGTGTAGAGCCCTGTCTGTGTAGAGCCCTGTCCCGTGTACAGCCCTGTCTGTGTAGAGCCCTGTCCCGTGTAGAGCTCTGTAGCTCTGTCTGTGTAGAGCTCTGTGTGTGTAGAGCCCTGCCTGTGAAGAGCCCTGTCTGTGTAGAGCTCTGTCTGTGTAGATCTCTGTCTGTGTAGAGCCCTGTCTGTGTAGAGCCCGGCCTGTGAAGAGCCCTGTCTGTGTAGAGCTCTGTCTGTGTAGAGCTCTGTCTGTGTAGCGCTCTGTCTGTGTAGAGCCCTGTCTGTGTAGAGCCCTGTCTGTGTAGAGCCCTGTCATTGTAGAGCCCTGCCTGTGAAGAGCCCTGTCTGTGTAGAGCTCTGTCTGTGTAGAGCTCTGTCTGTGTAGCGCTCTGTCTGTGTAGAGCCCTGTCTGTGTAGAGCCCTGTCTGTGTAGAGCTCTGTGTGTGTAGAGCTCTGTGTGTGTAGAGCCCTGTCTGTGTAGCGCTCTGTCTGTGTAGAGCCCTGTCTGTGTAGAGCCCTGTCTGTGTAGAGCCCTGTCCCATGTAGACCCCTGTCCCGTGTAGAGCCCTGTGTGTGTAGAGCTCTGTCTGTGTAGAGCCCTGTCTGTGTAGAGCTCTGTCTGTGTAGAGCCCTGTCTGTGTAGAGCTCTGTCTGTGTAGAGCTCTGTCTGTGTAGAGCTCTGTCTGTGTAGAGCTCTGTCTGTGTAGAGCTCTGTCTGTGTAGAGCCCTGTCTGTGTAGAGCCCTGTCTGTGTAGAGCTCTGTTTGTGTGGCGCCCTGTCTGTGTAGAGCCCTGTCTGTGTAGAGCCCTGTCTGTGTAGAGCTCTGTCTGTGTAGAGTTCTGTGTGTGTAGAGCTCTGTCTGTGTAGAGCTCTGTCTGTGTAGAGCTCTGTCTGTGTAGAGCCTTGTCTTGTGTAGAGCCCTGTCTGTGTAGAGCCCTGTCTGTGTAGAGCTCTGTGTGTGTAGAGCCCTGTCAGTGTAGAGCCCTGTCTGTGAAGAGCCCTGTCTGTGTAGAGCCCTGTCTGTGTAGAGCCCTGTCTGTGTAGAGCTCTGTCTGTGTAGAGCCCTGTCTGTGTAGAGCCCTGTCTGTGTAGAGCTCTGTGTGTGTAGAGCCCTGTCTGTGTAGAGCCCTGTCTGTGTAGAGCCCTGTCTGTTTAGAGCTCTGTCTGTGTAGAGCCCTGTCGGTGTAGAGCTCTGTCTGTGTAGAGCTCTGTCTGTGTAGAGCCCTGTCTGTGTAGAGCCCTGTCTGTGTAGAGCTCTGTGTGTGTAGAGCCCTGTCTGTGTAGAGCCCTGTCTGTGTAGAGTTCTGTCTGTGTAGCGCTCTGTCTGTGTAGAGCCCTGTCTGTGTAGAGCTCTGTCTGTGTAGAGCTCTGTCTGTGTAGAGCCCTGTCTGTGTCCTCTCTCCTCATTAACTTTGCATTGAAAACATTAAAACAGAAACTCAGTGTTGTAGAGAAAAGAGGCTCAGCTCAGGACGATTTCATTAGACTATGTATGAGACAGTCAGACAGACACACACACACACACACAGACAGACAGACAGACAGACAGACAGACAGACACACATACACACAGACAGACAGACACACACACACACGCACACGCAGACACAGACACAGACACACACACACACACACACAGACACACACACAGACACACACACACACACACAGACACACACACACAGACACAGACACACACACACAGACACACACACACACACACACACACACACACACACACACACAGACACAAAGACACACACACACACACACACACACACACACACACACACACACACACACACACACAAACAGACACACACACAGAGACACACACAGACACACACACAGCTGCAGCAGATGTAGGTCAGTGTGAGGTGCAACTTTCTGTGTTGAATAAATGTTCAAGGCAAAGAGACTCTGATGGATTCAATACATAATGCAAGAGGCCAAACTACAGACCCCCCACGGCCACTGAGGAATGTGGACCAGCTTTTACACTGAGACCGACACACAACACATACACCATTTAGATATATAAAAAGCAAGATATGTGCAATAATTATCATAAAATAGTGGCAGATTTTGCTATTTGGACTAACTACAGACAGTTAATCAGTGAACTGTCAGAGTGTGACATCACCAGAGTGTGACATCACCAGAGTGTGACATCACCAGAGAGTGACATAACCAGAGTGTGACATCACCAGAGAGTGACATCACCAAAGTGTGACATCACCAGAGTGTGACATCACCAGAGTGTGAAATCACCAAAGCTAGCTGCAGCTAACGGTAACGTGTGTGGAAGACTTTTAATACAATCTTTTAAACATTTTAACGAATGTATGTTTGGTCCAGTTTTAGCTCATGTCTCTATGATGTCAGATGGTCTGGTCTCTCTCTCTGGTCTCTCTCTGGTCTCTCTCTGGTCGCTGTCTCTGGTCGCTCTCTGGTCGCTCTCTCTGGTCGCTCTCTCTGGTCTCTCTCTGGTCTCTCTCTCTGGTCTCTCTCTCTGGTCTCTCTCTCTGGTCTCTCTCTGGTCTCTCTCTCTGGTCTCTCTCTCTGGTCTCTCTCTGGCCTCTCTCTCTGGTCTCTCTCTCTGGTCTCTCTCTGGTCTCTCTCTGGTCTCTCTCTGGTCTCTCTCTGGTCTCTCTCTGGTCTCTCTCTAGTCTCTCTCTGGTCTCTCTCTAGTCTCTCTGGTCTCTTTCTAGTCTCTCTGGTCTCTCACTGATCTCTCTGGTCTCTCTGGTCTCTCTCTGGTCTCTCTCTCTGGTCTCTCTGGTCTCTCTCTCTGGTCTCTCTCTGGTCTCTTTCTAGTCTCTCTGGTCTCTCTCTGGTCTCTCTCTGGTCTCTTTCTGGTCCATCTCTGGTCTCTCTCTGGTCTCTCTCTGGTCTCTCTCTGGTCTCTCTCTGGTCTCTCTCTGGTCTCTCTCTGGTCTCTGTCTCTGTCATTAAACTTCCCGCTCAGATGTGTTTGACAGAACTGTTCTGTGACGTTTGGATTAAAAATATATTTTACAAAGAGATTTTTCTTCATTTGATAAATCGGTCAAAATGTGGGACTTCAGACGTAATTCCACTGATATTAATTATTATGCACCAAAATGAACCAACTCTGACTCTGAGGAGCACAGGGACTGGCCTCCTGCTGGGACTCTGAGGAGCACAGGGACTGGCCTCCTGCTGGGACTCTGAGGAGCACAGGGACTGGCCTCCTGCTGGGACTCTGAGGAGCACAGGGACTGGCCTCCTACTGGGACTCTGAGGAGCACAGGGACTGGCCTCCTACTGGGACTCTGAGGAGCACAGGGACTGGCCTCCTGCTGGGACTCTGAGGAGCACAGGGACTGGCCTCCTGCTGGGACTCTGAGGAGCACAGGGACTGGCCTCCTGCTGGGACTCTGAGGAGCACAGGGACTGGCCTCCTGCTACCTCCTTATGTTCTCCTTATTAATGTATTTGTATTTTTGATTGGGACAGTGCATGTTAATGAACGCACCTTTCCTCTCCTCATGGTACTGTATCGTTATGGTCTCCTTATGGTCTCGCTATGGTCTCCTCATGGTCTCGTTATGGTCTCCTCATGGTCTCGTTATGGTCTCCTTACGGTCTCCTTGTGGTTTTCTCATGGTCTCGTTATGGTCTCCTCATGGTCTCGTTATGGTCTCCTCATGGTCTCATTATGGTCTCCTCATGGTCTTGTTATGGTCTCCTCACGGTCTCCTTCTGGTCCTTACCTTGTAGTTCCTGCAGGTGGGGTTGAAGGCGTTGGTGCCGCAGGCGAACAGCGTCTCGTCGTTCCGAGGAACCAGGACTTTGATGTAGTTGTAACATTCATCCTGAAAACACACACAAAAAACTCTCTGGTCTCTCTCTGGCCTTTATCTCTGGTCTCTCTCTGGTCCCTCTCTGGTCTCTCTCTGGTCTCTCTCTGGTCTCTCTCGCTCTGGTCTCTCTCTCTGGTCTTGCTCTGGTCTCTCTTTGGTCCCTCTCTCTGGTCCTTCTCTCTGGTCTCTCTCTCTGGTCTCTCTCTGGTCTCTCTCTGGTCTCTCTCTGGTCTCTCTCTCTGGTCTCCCTCGCTCTGGTCTCTCTCGCTCTGGTCTCTCTCTGGTCTCTCTCTGGTCTCTCTCTCTCTGGTCCCTCTCTCTGGTCCCTCTCTCTGGTCTCCCTCGCTCTGGTCTCTCTCGCTCTGGTCGCTCTCTCTGGTCTCTCTCTGGTCTCTCTCTCTGGTCTCTCTCTGGTCTCTCTCTCTGGTCTCCCTCGCTCTGGTCTCTCTCGCTATGGTCTCTCTCGCTCTGGTCTCTCTCGCTCTGGTCCCTCTCTCTCTGGTCCCTCTCTGGTCCCTCTCTCTGATCCCTCTCTCTGGTCTCCCTCGCTCTGGTCTCTCTCGCTCTGGTCTCTCTCTGGTCTCTCTCTGGTCTCTCTCTCTGGTCTCTCTCTGGTCTCTCTCGCTCTGGTCTCTCTCGCTCTGGTCTCTCTCTCTCTGGTCTCTCTCTGGTCCCTCTCTCTGGTCCCTCTCTCTGGTCTCCCTCGCTCTGGTCTCTCTCGCTCTGGTCTCTCTCTCTCTGGTCTCTCTCTGGTCTCTCTCTCTGGTCTCTCTCTGGTCTCTCTCTCTATGGTCCCTCTCTGGTCCCTCTCTCTGGTCCCTCTCACTGGTCTCTCTCGCTCTGAAAGCAACATCAAAGGGACTCACGCTGTTCTTGCCTCGCACCGTGCACTTGGCCACATCCTTGGATTTCCAGGTCAGCTTCTGCAAAAAAGAGAGAGAGAAACTGAACGGACAGTTTCTCCCATTCGCCCCGGGTCCTGGGTCTACAGCCTCAGTCCTGGATCTACAGCCTCAGTCCTGGGTCTACAGCCTCAGTCCTGGGTCTACAGCCTCAGTCCTGGGTCTACAGTCTCAGTCCTGGATCTACAGCCTCAGTCCTGGGTCTACAGCCACAGTCCTGGGTCTACAGCCTCAGTCCTGGGTCTACAGCCTCAGTCCTGGGTCTACAGCCTCAGTCCTGGATATTTGTCGCAGCTGCAGAAGAAGAAGCAGCACTTTTAATGGCCGCAGAGGGAGGTCATGTGACTAAAGTTTCATATTAGTATTGATTGGTGCAAAGGGCAGAGTCTGCACTGGTTTGTTATTAAATATATTATAAGAGCAGATAGCACAGCATTGATTATGATTAGGATTCATTCTGCCTCATCTGTGTGTGCGTGTGTGTGTGTGTGTGTGTGTGTGTGTGTGTGTGTGTGTGTGTGTGTGTATGTGCGTGTGTGTGTGTGTCTGTGTGTGTGTGTGTAGGCAGGAAGGCACTATAGCTACAGGGGAAACTGACAATGTGGTCTGTAGACTGAGTCCTGGGTCTACAGCCTCAGTCCTGGTTCAGTCTCAGTCCTGGATCAACAACAGCCTCAGTCCTGGGTCTAGAACAGCCTCAGTCCAGGGTCTACAACAGCCTCAGTCCAGGGTCTACAACAGCCTCAGTCCTGGGTCTACAGCCTCAGTCCTGGGTCTACAACAGCCTCAGTCCTGGGTCTACAACAGCCTCAGTCCTGGGTCTACAGCCTCAGTCCTGGATCAACAACAGCCTCAGTCCTGGGTCTAAAGCCTCAGTCCTGGGTCTACAGTCTCAGTCCTGGGTCTACAGCCTCAGTCCTGGGTCTACAGCCTCAGTCCTGGATCAACAACAGCCTCAGTCCTGGGTCTAAAGCCTCAGTCCTGGGTCTAAAGCCTCAGTCCTGGGTCTACAGCCTCAGTCCTGGTTCTACAGCCTCAGTCCTGGATCAACAACAGCCTCAGTCCTGGGTCTACAGCCTCAGTCCTGGGTCTATAGTTTGCACAATAAAAGAGTAAAAATAGATAAATTGTTATAAAATCCTCCCACATCGTGTCAATCATGTCTAAAATAATCCTTAATATATTTTTTACGGCTTTGAGATCCACGCAGAGAAAGAAACAATTCCCTCTGCGTCTCGACTCGACTCAAATAAAACACAGGAAATCTTCGTTCCAATTATTCCAAATGAGCAGCGGGCTCCACACTATTGATATTTTATGGTCTTATGGTCTTGATGGTTTTATGGTCTTGATGGTTCGTCGGCGCTGCTTTGTTTTCGCAGAGACGGTTTATGGACGCATTACTCTGATGGCAGCTGAGGGAACGGCACGAGACCGAGGCAGTGAAGATGGACGAGGGTTTCTATCGTCTTTGACTCGTTACAACCAGAGAAAAGAAATCCATATTTATCCAAATCTTTGCTCTACAACAGACAGAGTTTATTGAGCACTAATAACACAAATAATCTTCACGTTTCTTTTTTTTAACCCCTAGTTTTTCGTTATTAAATGCTTGTGATGCAGTTTGATGTAAAAGTGCCTAAAAGTGCTTGAATATGTTATTTAAAGTGCTGACTTTTGAGCCTAAAACCGTCTGTGTGGCGCCCTCTCTACATTTTCGGTGGTACTACACTTGGATTTGGTCCTGGCCTCTCATTGGCTCTGGAGTGCAGTGTGACATCACTCTGCACCTGTGGTATAAAAACACACGCCTGTAGTGAGTTGGAGAATTCTGGCGACATCTAGTGGTTTAAAATGTAATGGTATCTGTTGAGAGCCACTGCTGATGTAAATCTGTGGCTTTTATCTCAGTGTTTAAACTATTGCTTTAAGACGGCAGCGATATTTTGTGTGTGATTACAGCTCGCTTGTCAATCACAGCCCAGGCCACGCCCCTTCCTTGCCCCCACCTTTTATAGAACATTTTCAATTGTCCATATGGGCGGAGTCAGACTGGGCACAGGTGTTTAGTTTTCTTTTAATGTGTTGCTAAGGTAATCGCTAAGGAAAGCTGGAGTGAAAGGAGGCGTCTGATTGGTCAATAATTATGGCTAATATCTGTCATTACAAAAAGACATCATCACAAAATAAACAGCAGCGTCACAGAGAGCGATAAACCATGGATTTTTAAAAGACTATTTTTTGGTTATTCACATTTCTAAGCAGAACAGGTTCTGGTTAGTGCTGTGATGGGAGACCTATGTCTCCCATCTAAACTGTGATAGGAGAAAGGTGTTCATACAAACTTATAAATACATAGTTTTAAAGTTACTAACAATAGTAATGCAGAACTGGTCTAAACTGGTCTAAACTGGTCTCACCTGCTGCGGGATGATCTGGTCCGAGGACGAGGCCAGGTTCACGGCAAACACATGGTCCCTGTGAGAGAGAGAGAGAGAGAGAGAGAGAGAGAGAGAGAGAAAGAGCAAAGCGAGAGAGCAGAGAGAGAGAGAGCAGTATAATAAATCTGATATACAAACACATGTGGTATTAAGTTACAAAGGTGAAACTTCAATAAAAAACTACGACCATAAAAACCATTATAAGACCCATTGAATGTGCTTCATGGACCGGACTGAGAGAGGAGAGAGAGAGACAAGAGAAAGAGACCAGAGAGAGAGAGGAGAGAGAGACCAGAGAGAGAGAGGAGAGAGAGAGGAGAGAGAGCAGAGAGAGAGAGAGACCAGAGAGATAGACCAGAGAGAGAAAAGATAGAGGAGAGAGAGAGGAGAGAGAGACCAGAGAAAGACGAGAGAGAGAGACCAGAGAGAGACCAGAGAAAGACCAGAGAGATAGACCAGAGAGAGACCAGAGAGGGACCAAAAAAAGACCAGAGAGGGACCAAAAAAAGACCAGAGAGAGACCAGAGAGAGACCAGAGAGAGACCAGAGAGAGGGACCAGAGAGAGAGAGGAGAGAGAGAGAGAGAGAGAGCAGAGCGAGAGAGAGCAGAGAGAGAGAGAGACCAGAGAGAGAACCAGAGAGAGGGACCAAGAGAGACCAGGAGAGAGAGACCAGAGAGAGACCAGAGAGAGACCAGAGAGGCCAGAGAGAGAGACCCAGAGAGAGACCAGAGAGAGAGGGACCAAAGAGAGACCAGAGAGCGAGACAAGAGAGAGACCAGAGAGAGACCAGAGAGAGACCAGAGAGAGGCCAGAGAGAGAGACCAGAGAGAGACCAGAGAGAGGGACCAAGAGAGACCAGAGAGACACCAGAGAGAGAGACCAGAGAGAGAGAGGAGAGAGAGAGGAGAGAGAGCAGAGAGAGAGAGAGACCAGAGAGATAGACCAGAGAGAGAAAAGATAGAGGAGAGAGAGAGGAGAGAGAGACCAGAGAAAGACGAGAGAGAGAGACCAGAGAGAGACCAGAGAGAGACCAGAGAGATAGACCAGAGAGAGACCAGAGAGGGACCAGAGAGAGACCAGAGAGAGACCAGAGAGAGACCAGAGAGAGACCAGAGAGAGACCAGAGAGAGAGACCAGAGAGAGAGACGAGAGAGAGACCAGAGAGAGAGACCAGAGAGAGAGAGAGAGAGAGAGACCAGAGAGATAGACTAGAGAGAAAAGATAGAGGAGAGAGAGAGGAGAGAGAGACCAGAAAGAGACCAGAGAGGGACCAAAGAAAGACCAGAGAGAGACCAGAGAGAGGGACCAAAGAGAGACCAGAGAGAGACCAGAGAGAGGGACCAAAGAGAGACCAGAGAGAGACCAGAGAGAGGGACCAAAGAGAGACCAGAGAGAGACCAGAGAGAGGGACCAAAGAGAGACCAGAGAGAGACCAGAGAGAGGGACCAAAGAGAGACCAGAGAGAGACCAGAGAGAGGGACCAAAGAGAGACCAGAGAGAGACCAGAGAGAGGGACCAAAGAGAGACCAGAGAGAGAGACAAGAGAGAGACCAGAGAGAGACCAGAGAGAGGGACCAAAGAGAGACCAGAGAGAGAGACCAGAGAGAGACCAGAGAGAGACCAGAGAGGCCAGAGAGAGAGACCAGAGAGAGACCAGAGAGAGGGACCAAAGAGAGACCAGAGAGCGAGACAAGAGAGAGACCAGAGAGAGACCAGAGAGAGACCAGAGAGAGGCCAGAGAGAGAGACCAGAGAGAGACCAGAGAGAGGGACCAAAGAGAGACCAGAGAGACACCAGAGAGAGAGACCAGAGAGAGACCAGAGAGAGACCAGAGAGAGGCCAGAGAGAGAGACCAGAGAGAGACCAGAGAGAGACCAGAGAGAGAGACCAGAGAGAGACCAGAGAGAGACCGGAGAGAGACCAGAGAGAGACCAGAGAGAGACCAGAGAGAGACCAGAGAGAGCCTGTCCAGTCCCAAACCTCTCTCTCTGACTTTCCAAATATTGACTGGACCTCTGAGCCTCAGAACCTCAGAGTCTGTGAAGTCTCTGTAAAAACCTGCTGTGGCTCAAAGCGATTCTTGGCAGAGAATCTCGCCGCAGTTTGGGCTCGAGCCAAAGACGAAGCGAGATTTATCTTGCTCTGTCTGAGGAGAGAGCGCTTTTGGACCATTAACCTCCATGTCTGAGGGAGGGGCAGCCATCAGGAGGAAACAGCAGGTGCAGCAGGCAAGACACACACTGCTGCCACAGAACGGGGAGACAAGAAAGAGACCAAGACCAGAGAGAGAAAGAGAGCAGAGAGAGAGACTACAGAGAGACAGAAACCAGAGAGAGAGAGAGACCAGAGAGATCAGAGACCAAAGAGAGAGAGAGACGATGCCGTAGAGCGACCAGAGAGAGACCAGAGAGAGAGATACCAGAGAGAGAGAGACCAAAGAGAGACAGAAACCAGAGAGAGAGAGAGAGAGACCAGAGAGCAACCAGGGAGAGATAACACAGAGAGACCAGAGATAGAGAGACCAGAGAGAGAGAGACCAGAGACAGAGAGAGACCAAAGAGAGACAGAGACTATAGAGAGAGAGAGAGAGAGAGAGAGAGAGACCAAAGAGAGACAGAGACCAGAGAGAGAGAGAAAGAGAGAGCAACCAGAGGGGGATAACACAGGGAGACCAGAGAGAGACCAGAGAGAGATCAGAGACCAGAGAGAGAGAGACCAAAGAGAGACCTTATGTGCAGAGATTAAGAGTTCCCTTTTGTATGAACTGTGCTGAACAAATAAACTTGCCTTGCCTTCAGACACCAGTCCGCTGAGAGGAGCTCTGAGGAGAGGAGAGACTGGGACTACAGACTGGGACTGAACGCTGGTACCAATGTGCCCAGCTGGTACCAAAACCCAGCTGGTACCATAATCCCAGTTCTGACCAGGACCAAATCACTGGTTCCTCATTGGGCCACAGTAAACGGAGAGAAACAACCTCTCTCTCTCTTCACTTTCTCTTCACTCTCTCCTCTCTCTCGTTCCTCTCTTTTCTCCTCTTGTCTCTTTCTCTCCTCACTCTCCTTTCTCCTCTCTCTCTCTCCTCTCCTGTCCCTCCTCTCCTCTCTCTCCTCTCCTTTCCCCTCTCTCTCCTCTTCTCTCCTCTCCCCTCTCTCTCCTCTCCTCATTCTTCTCTCTTTCCTCTCCTCTCCTCTCTCGTCTCCTCTCTCTCTCTCACCTCTGTCCTATCTCTCCTCCCTTGCTCTCCTCATTCTGCTCTCTCTCTCCTCTCCTCTCCTCGCCCCTCTCTCTCCTCTCCTCTCCTCTCTCCTCTCCTCTCCCCTCTCTCTCCTCTCCTCTCCCTCCTCTCTCTCCTCTCCTCTCCCCTCTCTCTCCTCTCCTCTCTTCTCCTCTCTCTCTCCTCTCCCCTCTCTCTCCTCTCCTCTCCTCTCCTCTCTCTCCTCTCTCTCCTCTCTCTCCTCTCTCTCCTCTCCTCTCGCTCCAAGAGAGGAGAGGAGACTGGGTCCAGTCTGAGTCCAGTATGAGTCCAGCCTGAGTCCAGCCTGAGTCCAGTCTGAGTCCAGTCTGAGTCCAGTCTGAGTCCAGTCTGAGTCCAGTCTGGGTCCTGACCTGGCAGCGATGTAGAGCATGTGGTTGATCCGGAGCATCCTCTGAAAGTCCAGACCCAGACGCACCGTGTCGTTGTCCGACATCAGGCCCTGGAAGCTCGGAAACAGGTACGAGGCTGAGAAAAACACACAACACACAACACACAACGCACACAGACACACACACAGACAACACACAACAGAAAACGCACACAGACACAGACACAGACAACAGACACAGACAACAGACAACAGACACAGAGACTTTAGACTCAAGAAAGATTCATCTGTGGGAGATGTCAGTGTCTTTGAGCGTGTGTGTGTCAGACCCGACAGACTGAAGGCGGATCAGTGCAGCGTGTGCGGACTTTATACAACAGTAGTATGTGTTCACGGAGGTGACTTTATATAACGGCAGTGTGTGTTCACGGAGGTGACTTTATATAACGGCAGTGTGTGTTCACGGAGGTGACTTTATATAACAGCAGTGTGTGTTCACGGAGGTGACTTTATACAACAGTAGTATGTGTTCACGGAGGTGACTTTATATAACAGCAGTGTGTGTTCACGGAGGTGACTTTATATAACAGCAGTATGTGTTCACGGCGGTGCGCCATACGTTTTTTCATATTATTAAACGGTATTTACGCATCAGTGAACACACTCGAAGCAGTTGCACAAAGTCATGGGAGCATGACAACGCATATATTCACAAGCACAGAGTCCCCCATTGTCAACCCTGGTTTATTCCTGGTTTAGTCCTGGTTTAGTCCTGGTTTAGTCCTGGTTTAGTCCTGGTTTAGTCCTGGTTTAGTCCTGGTGTAGCCCTGGTTTAGTCCTGGTTTAGTCCTGGTGTAGTCCTGGTTTTTAGTCCTGGTTTAGTCCTGTTTTGGCTGTTTACAGTATGTTCAGTCTGCTCGCTCAGACTAATGTCCCCGTGACCACTTTGCAGCTCTCTGATTGGTCGCTGCACGAACGTCCCGAGGAAAAGTTGAGCAAAGTTTATCTCCTGTGGGCATCGTTTTTCCGCTCCTGCTCCTCCCCTTTCACTTTCCCGCCAAGTCCGTGCGTCTCTACTGAACGGTCCGTGCGTCTCTACTGAACGGTCCGTGCGTCTCTACTGAACGGTCCATAAGTGCGTCCCGAGAGGTCCGTGCGTTTTGACGCTCAAACGCGCGTCACCGTAGACTTTGCATTGAAAGCAGACGCAGCAGGATCCGGTCTGAACGCGGCATTAGAGAGAGAGGAGCTCAGTCACAACCTGGCTCATCTGTTCTGGGCGCCTCCCTGGGGAAATCCCACCAGGAGGAGGCCCCGGGGAAGACCCAGGACACAGAGGAACGAGGTCTCTCATCTGGCCTGGGAACGCCTTGAGTCCCCCCCGGACGAACTGGAGGAAGTGTGTGAGAGGAAAGTCTGGGTGTCTCTGCTTAGACTGCTGCCCCTGCGACCCGGCAATGGATGAAGCGGAAGAAGATGTCTCTCTCCTCTCCTCTAAAATCTAAATAACCTAAATTAATCTGATTTTTCTTTCCATCTCATTTTCATTACCTCCTGATCCTCCGTCTCTCTGTGGAGATTTAATATTTATGTTTTTAATCGTCTGACACAAACTTCAGCGATAATTCAGACAAACTTTGAGTCTGTACGAACGTGTTTCAAAAGCGTTCTGCGAGGTTAGCCCCGGCCCCTGGCTCCGCAGCGCCGTATGCTAATGCTAACGGCGCTCATGCAGGCGGACCACAGGGAACCAGCAAATGAGACGTCTGGGTCAAAGAAGTCACGGACATTTAAATAATAGTTCCCTGTGCTCTGTTTGTGGAGGGACTCTGCCAAGAGGAGAACGGACCAATCACAGGCCACGGTCCATAACCAGGGTCCCACAGAGAGTGATGTCGCATAATACTGATACCAAGGGCAAAACTCCACTCAGTCCTCGGTCTACAGCCTCAGTCCTGGGTCTACAGCCTCAGTCCTGGGTCTACAGCCTTAGTCCTGGGTCTACAGCCTCAGTCCTGGGTCTACAGCCTCAGTCCTGGGTCTACAGCCTCAGTCCTGGGTCTACAGCCTCAGTCCCAGATGGACAGTGTGGAGCAAGAACAAGCTTTTAATTCAAGAACACAAAGAGAAGCGAGAGAGTGATGCAAACAGAGGATGACACAATATCGTTTCGGGATTTTGCCTTTTCATTTGTCGTCGTCCGCGAGGCTTTAGTCCTGTCCTTGGAAAAGTCACTCACGAAGAGACACAGAAGATTTAGTTATTATTCACGATGGTGCGAGGAGTTCAGCGGCTTCAGAGAAACTTCAGCAGCTCAGGGCCAGTTCTGGTCAATGGTCTCAGTCTGGTCTTTCTCTGGTCTTTCTCTGGTCTCTCTCTGGTCTCTCTCTGGTCTCTCTCTCTCTGGTCTCTCTCTGGTCTCACGCTGGTCTCTCTCTCTGGTCTCTCTCTGGTCTCTCTCTCTCTGGTCTCTCTCTGGTCTCACGCTGGTCTCTCTCTCTGGTCTCTCTCTGGTCTCTCTCTGGTCTCTCTCTCTCTGGTCTCTCTCTGGTCTCACGCTGGTCTCTCTCTCTGGTCTCTCTCTGGTCTCTCTCTGGTCTCTCTCTGGTCTCTCTCTGGTCTCTCTCTCTGGTCTCTCTCTCTGGTCTGTCTCTCTGGTCTGTCTCTCTGGTCTCTCTCTCTGGTCTCTCTCTCTGGTCTCTCTCTAGTCTCTCTCTGGTCTCTCTCTCTGGTCTCTCTCTGGTCTCTCTCTGGTCTCTCTCTCTGGTCTCTCTCTGGTCTCACGCTGGTCTCTCTCTCTGGTCTCTCTCTCTGGTCTCTCTCTGGTCTCACGCTGGTCTCTCTCTCTGGTCTCTCTCTCTGGTCTGTCTCTGGTCTGTCTCTCTGGTCTCTCTCTCTGGTCTCTCTCTAGTCTCTCTCTCGGTCTCTCTCTGGAGACCAGAAAGAGACCAGAGAGAGAGAGACCAGAGAGAGAGATCATAGAGATACTTCTCTCCCCAAAACAGCAAAATCTCTCTCGTCTCTGTCTTCTCTCTCCTCTTGATACAGCAGAGAAGCAGCTCTACATTATGCACCCCCTGGTCCCCCCTCTCTCCTCTCCCCGCTGGTCCTCTCCCCCCTCTCCTCCCTCTCCCCCCCACTCTCCTCTCCCCCCCCCTCTCCCCTCTCCTCCCACTCATCACGACACATAAACCACAGCAGAGTTAATGGACTGCAGTGCATTATGGGATGGCCAGTCCCTGGTGTTGTCTCTGGGACGTGATGGACTGGTCCTGATCCAGCTGCTGGTCCTCCATCACCTGTCACCTGGTCCTGACCCGGCGGGTCTTCCATCCCCTGTCACCTGGTCCGGCCCGGGACAGATGGCCCTCATTAGGCCCGGGCCGCGGCACACACTGGGCTAATGACAGAGCTATTTCTGCTAATGGTCCTGTAGCTTTGTTTCTGATGGTCCATTACTGCTCCATGGTCCGTGGTCTGGGTCACCGCCTCCTCTATCACCGAGGTTTGGAATACCACTGTCACATGTCACATCGTATGGTCACAAGGTATGGTCACATGGTATGGTCACATGGTATGGTCACAAAGTATGGTCACATGGTATGGTCACATGGTATGGTCACATGGTAGGGTCACATGGTATGGTCACAAGGTATGGTCAGATGGTATGAAGATATGGTCACATGGTCTGGTCACATGGTATGGTCACATGGTATGATGATATGATCACATGGTCTGGTCACATGGTATAGTCACATGGTATGGTCACAAGGTATGGTCACATGGTATGATGGTATGGTCACATGGTATGATGATCTGGTCACATGGTGTGGTCACATGGTACTGTGGACTCATTACCAATATCACTGTGTAAAAGTCATGTTTCTATAGGATATAATCTTAATCAATCAAATTTACGTTTATGTGCATCTGTGAACTGGTCTCAGTCCTGGGTCTACAGCCTCAGTCCTGGGTCTACAGCCTCAGTCCTGGGTCTACAGCCTCAGTCCTGGGTCTACAGCCTCCTTTTCTCTTTTCTCTCACTAGAAAAGAACCTTATGTTCTTTAAAAATAACAAAGAAATCATTAAACATTTACTGTGTTTAAAGAAGATGGTTTGACTCCAGACAGAAATAAATGATCTAAAAAGAAAGTCACACGGAGGCTTTAAAACCCACAAACCCGGAGAACCAGACTTATTTACGACCCGTGGAGCCGAGCCGAGCCGAGCCGAGTCCCTGGAGGTCTTCCAGCTAACGCTCGGGGACAGATTATGGGCTGTTGTACAAGGTGCTTTTGACAGAAATGGTCAAACTTGTGCCAGATTCAAATGACTGCAGTTCCCATGAGTCACCAGCAGGGGTCTGATGGACCAGGGCGGGACCACAGTGGCGGACCCTCGATGCCTGCAAGGCCTGCTCTGCAGGACTAAACATGATTACATACTGTATATACATATATTTTTATAATATATATAATATATAATTTTTCTACTTATAATTATTTTTTTGATGTTTATTTTTCCACAAACTTCGTTGGTTGCGCAGCATCCAGCTTAAGGTGGACATTTGGGAGGTCTGGCGTCTAACAGAGTTCAATTCTTACTCAGCTTCATGTGTATATGGCCCAGAATCTGCCTCTGGGCCTTCAGAGTCTACAGTGCTGACCCGCGCTAGCTTAAAGGCAATGAAAACTAACCTGTGGCATTAACCAATCAGTGTCCAGTCTCCTACTTTGGGGCCTGGGGAAGCGGGTCTTCTGATTGGATCCGTTACAGTCTGTGGTGCAGCCCATAGCAGAGCAGAAATGCTAACATGTGTAGCACGACAACTTGTTATAGTTTTCCAACCCTGTACGGCTGAGGGAGGTGAATACATCTGTGGCACTAAACATGTTGGAGACCGCCGGGTTAGGACATCACTGCAGGCGCAGGTCTGAAAGGCACGGCCCGCCACGGCCCACCACGGCTAAAGCAGCTGAACCTGGGAGTTCATTTTTACAAAACACCAACTTTACCTAGGCCTAGACCCTGGTGGTGGTCCTCCCGGGGCCTAGACCCTGGTGGTGGTCCTCCCGGGGCCTAGACCCTGGGAGCGAGGAGAAGGATGAAAGAACTGAACCGAACATGGCAGAGATGGGGAGGAGGAGGGTTGCAGCGTGAGTGAAGCTGCTCTTGGATGGAGCGTCTGCGTGATATGAAGCTGATGTGGGCAGTGCCTGAGGCGTTGCAGCTGAGTGTGATTGACAGATTGCTGTTGCTATGGGCAACAGCAGGAGAACGCTCAGAGTTGGTTCTCAGGTCGTCCACTCTGAATCTCTGCTTAAAGTAGTACTAGAATTTACCATGCTGCTATCCAGAATATATAACTACAATATGTGTTTATAATATTTCGGGTGTTCATTTTGACATGTTCAGATGAATTATGTTAAAAAAACTGCTTTGAAGTGGCACCTTTTCACTTCCGCACAGAAACGCTAGGGGACGCCAAAATGGCGCCTATGACGTAGGAGAATGACCTCTCACAGCAGCAGCAGTCTGGGCTGAATCTGTAGGAGGTTTCACTGTCATCTGAACAAGGTATAAACATATTTTCATCAGTTTTGTACATATTAGTGCGCAACTCTTTTAACCTTTTAGCCTTATTTGTGAGATTCAAGCTAACTAGTGTTGGGCAAGTTAGCTAACTCTACTTGATATCATAAAACATGCTAACAAGGCTAATATTTGTTTTTACATTATGCCAGTATCACTTTGCCTTAGATTTATTTGCCACAATGTACATATTA